CCCGCCTGGCGGGAGGATGGCTTCACTCCTAGGAGTGGGGCTGCCCAAGTCAGCTTCCTCTGAGCCCAGCCACGAGGCCAAGGCAGAGGCTGGCACTCGGGCAGTACTCTCACTCCCACACCCAAGGTTCACAGGGCTTGGGCGTCTCTCCAGGCTGGCCCCTCTCCCCAGGGCCAGCCACCGTAGTGCAGGGGTAGGGCAGACAGGCCAGAAAAGGTCAGGCAGGGAGCCAGGGCTGCTGGCGGGACCCCACCACTCACGGTCAGCACCTACCTTCTGATGGGGGATCACTGGCAGAGGGGACTGGATCGGGGGTGCTGTCGTGGAGATGGGAATGGGGCGCTTCGACCTAAAGAAATCAGACACCGGGCAAGTCAGGACGGTCGCCCCGGGCTGAGCCGCTGCCTGGGCTGGGCTGGCTGGGGGAGCACGAGGCCTGCTGTCAGCCAAGGGACTGGGTCGGGAAGGAGCTGGGCCTGGTCAGGATGGAGAAGTCATGGCCCCCGGGCACTTCCTTGGGAGGCTGTCTGGGTGAAGACGAAGCCAGAGCCTCCCTGGCGACCCAGCCCCGATCGCCCAAGTTCCAGCAGCCCCGTGACCACCCTTTCTGAGCACCATCTGGGAAGTGAGGCAGGCACATCTGCCTCCAGCTCTTGACATGACTACGGCTTGGTCCTTCCTCTGGGCCTTCCCTTCTCGCTCGGCTGGGCCCATGCAGTGGAGGGACACCCTGTCCTGGCCTACTGGTGCCCACCCCGGCCTGCCACCCCCGGCTCTGGGGAGCCCCCACTTACTTCTGCAGGGTGAGGCTCAGGTTGTAGGTGGCCGACTTGATCTTGTTCTGAGCCTCCAAGTGTGTCATAGTGTCTGTGTTGACGCCGTCGATGGCCACCACGAGGTCACCCTGGCTGAGCTGGGACTGGGCTGCCTTGCTGCCCGGCGTGATCTGAATGGACAGAAAGAGGGGGTGGCATAAGGAGGTGGTCCCGAGGCCAGGCCTGGGAGGAGCCACTGGAGGTACTGAGTAGAGGCTGGCCTGTGTCTTCGTTCACTAGGTCCAGCACAGCTGCTCGGCATCCGGGCCTCTCCTGGCACACAGACACCTCGCTTCCTAGTGCTTGGTGCCTGGCTGCAGCCCTGGGCTGGCTCTGGCCAGCAGGTGAGGATGGAGGTGGTGCCCCCCAGTCCCGGTCTCCCTGGCCGCCCAGCCTGACCCCGCATGCTCTGCTTGCTGGCTGACTGGATGCAGAGGTGGCGAGAGCGAGCGGAAGGAGTCACCACTCGGAGCTGATACGGGCATGGCAGTAGTAAGACGAGCTGTCACTGCTCTCAGCGATTGCGGCCTGGGAGCTGCTCCTTACGTGGCTAGCCTACTATACCCTCTGCACCCTGCAGGCCCCTGGAGCACTTTCCAGGCCCAGAGAGGGAAGGGAAGTGCCCGAGCGAATGCTCAGCACTAAGCAGACACTGCCAGGGCGGCAGGCAGGACAGACGCGCCCACACAAAAGCATCGCAGTGCCAGGTGCCCCGTGCGGTCACGGCAGGAGGGCAGGAGTCTGAGGGGGCGTAAGTCTGCCTGGGCGAGCGAGGTCATCTGGAAAACGAGGCAGGGTTAGGGCTCTGGCGTCAGCTTCCTGCTTCCAGAAGCCGGCGTGCAGGGGGCTGGTTCCCGATCCCGCACTCAGCTGACACCGCGGACGTCAGGGTCTCGAGGCCCTGCTACAGTGTGACCACACAGAGAGCCGAAACGCCCCACAGGATTTCAGGAAGGCCACAGCCCGGGGACGTTTGCCCAATGCCACATGCTGCACGCCTGGCAGCCCTCGCAGTGCTGTCACGCAAGATGCAGTCCATGACACAAGCTAACACGGCCTGGCGGCCCGCTCCTAGGCAGGCGGCCCCACTCCAAAGATGGCCCTGGAGTCGTGGAGACTGGCTCTCCTCTCGTGACGTCACGCGGACTGTCCTTGCCCTGCTCATATCACCTGGAATGACTCAGCCTCACCCTCACAGCATCACATTTGAGGTCCCTTTCGTGACATCACGAGGATGCCATGGAGGCTCTGCCCCCAGTCACATCCCCAGAAAGGTGAGGCTCTGGAGGCCACCCCTCAGGCTGTGACTGAAAGATGTCCCTCCCAAACATGCCCCCAGCCACTTTGGCTTCTCTGGGCACATCCCAGTCACCTTCCTGGATTTAGCCCAGGGACAGAGCCAATTCCTCATGCTGGCCCGAGGCAGATTCTGGCCAAGGCCTGAGGACCACCCTAGGAGAAGCCCAGAGAGGACCAGGGACCATCCCTGCCCCAATGCCAAGCATGGGAGGGCCTCTGGCCAGGTCTGGGTTTGCAGACATGACTGGAAGCCCCCTTCCAGACCCTGCCAGAGAACCTCCACTCCAAAGCAGAGCACCCCACAATCGCAGCCTGCAGTCCATTCCCAAAGGGGCTCTACAGGGTGGTCAGGAAGAGAGCTGCCCCACACGGTTGCGTCACTAGTTCCATAGTGGTCTTATACTCTGCGTGACAGTAATGTGACCAGGGGAGCCTTTTTTTTTCCTTCAGTTTTTGCTGGAGGGTACATGAGCTCCCTGGAGGGTACATGAGCTCCCTGGAGAGAGACAGGGAGAGAGGGAAAGTGAAAAATCTCCCCTTAGGGGATGGCCACACTGCAATCTCTTCTCTTCCACTCTCTTCTTGGGATTTTGGGCATGCACACACATTCACCCAGCGTGACTTTTAAGTTGCTAGGTCCAGGATTTGAACCACACAGCCAGCCATGTGCGACTTAGCATCTTAACCTCCACATCACCTGCTGACCCCTGTGGTGCCTTCCTAAATACTGCCCACCTCGTGCCCAGAGCACCCTTCTTCAATACTGCCCACCTCGTGTCCAGAGCACCATCCTAAATACTGCCCACCTCGTGCCCAGAGCACCGTCCTAAATACTGGTCACCTCGTGCCCAGAGCACCGTCCTAAATACTGGTCACCTTGTGTCCAGAGCGTACTTCCCTGAGCTCCCCTTGTGTCACATGTCATCGACTGAGATGATAAGAGCACCGGAGAAACAAAGCCTTCAGCCACTGGGAAGCCAGAACCCCGCTCTGCGAAGCCCAGCTGCTGCCCAGGCTCCCGAGGGCTGCCTAGGGCCACGGACGGACGCCCAGTGGTCTGCTCTCTGTCTTTTGCCTCATGACGTGGGGAAGCAGACGCAGTGGGAGAAACGCTCCCGAGCGCCACACAACATCCTGGTTACGACTCCCTGACGGTCGTCAACCCCTCTCCTGAGCAAGCCCAAGCAGTTGTGAGGTGGGCTGTGTGGGATGGCTGTGCCGACTGCAGGCGGCGAGCGCTCTGGGCGGTTAGTGGGGCCGGGCTAAGATGCAGTGCCCGAGGGTCTGGCATCGAGTGCGTTTTAACAGTTAACGGTATTTTCAACTTACAGTGGCTTTATCGGGATGTAACTCCACAGCAAGTTGGGGACGCATCTGTACTTGGGATTCTCCGAATACACACAGCCCTTACCCCCAAATTCATTGCCGAGGGGAGCCCCTGCCCTGGGGAGCGTGTGCTGCTGCCTTTGAACTTATAGGTCAAACCAGGGCTAAAAACTGATGGAGAACCACTTTCCAGACTCCCGAGGGCAAGCACAGCCGCCCACCCAGCGTCCTGCAGGAAGGCCACTCCCACACACACTGGCTTCCCGTGCAGGCCGTGCTGTCCCGGCATTTTATGCCAGACTTTGCGAACATAGGAAAAGCTGCAGACTCCTACTGTGACCGCCTCACGGCCTCCCCCGACTTCGCTCTCCCCATCCACCCCGTCTCACTCCCGAGGCCATCCCAAGATGGCTGCAGACAGGAGTGTGCCCCACTCAGGGTGAGCTTGCAAGGCCTGGCACTGTCCTCATGGGCTGCCCTCAGCACCCCCCCCAGCAGGTGCCCCATGTGGGACCCCCCGGAGGTCCCTAGCCATCTCCAGAGACAGGTCATCCCCCGGGAGCAGGGAGCTAGTGGTGAGGTGGGGACCTTAGTTCCCCACACAGGTAGAGCCCACAGCCACAGGGAGACCCCGCCGGGCAGGACAGGACCGTCAGGGTCAGTGACGGCAGCTGGAGCCAGAGCACGGACTGGGGTCCCGGGGCAGAGCGGGCCCGCCTGCCCATCTGCAGTGTCCTCCCTGCAGCGCTGCCCGGGGACACAGCTTTCCCTCAGGCGTGGGCAGCTCCCTGGCACGACCCGCCTGGTCCTGCCCAGCGGCTCTGCTCTCAGCTGTGGCCTGGGTGATCCCTTCCTGGGGGCGAGCTTAGCCCCAGGCCCAGCACCCAGAGGGAGCCGCTGCGCAGGCTGCCACCGCCCCCGGCGTCTGCCCTGCACCTGTGTCCGCTCGTCAGGGCTCAGCTGGCCTGGCCTCGGGCTGCCCCGGGCAGGGCCCATGTCCCTGAGGGTAGAGGGCAGGGTGTGCCGATGCCCTCACATCGGGCAGACGCCTCTGCTCAGGTGTCCTTAACAGGTGGCAGGAGGGAGGCAGGTGCCTGGTCAGGAGGGGTGTCACTGTCAGGCCCCTGCCCGAAGCCAGGACTCCTGAAGAGTGCTGCCCTGGCACGGTGCTGCCCTGGAACGCTGCTGGCTCTGTCCCTCATTTCTGTTTACCTTGTCCCCAAAAGGACCTGAACACCCAAATCATTAGAGGCTTTTTTGTTTTTTTAATTAAAAAAAATCTTGTGTCCCTCTGAGCCTTTAACAAACCCTTTCTGAGTGTCCTCACTTTCCTTTTCTACTCTCCAGTCCACCGCCGCCTTTTAACTGGGACTCCAGTTGTGGGCCTCAGGGTCGGGGAGCCCAGGTCCTGTCCCCAAGGCCCCTGAGGGTGGGCCCAGTGGAGCCCTCCTCCTTGCTGGGCCGCGGCCTCGGGGCAGTCCAGGGGGCACAGGAGCAGCTGGTAGGGAGACCAGCCGGCGGTGCGGGTGGAGGCAGCAGAGGAGAGGGCGTAGACTCTGACCCGAGCCAGGCCCAGGCCGGTCTCCACGCCCTCCTGTGTCCAGGGCGACAATGCCTTTCTCTCAGATCGTTCTGAGCTTGTGGATTAACGTGATTAACGGGGTATTATGCAAGCAGGGTGCAGAGCTGAGAACGTTGCAGGGAAGCTCCAAACCGAGGACGAGGACGTGCGAGCGCTGACCCACCCCTTCCCCCAGGAGATGCCAGGGGGCCGCGGTCCCGGGCTCTGCAGGAAACAAGATCGGAGCTGGCAGAGGGTGGTGAGCCAGGGCCAGCCCTTGCTGACCAATCCTGAGGCCGCCTGCTGTCCCTAGAGGGGCCTGAGTGTCGGGGCGGGGAGCAGAGTCCCACCCAGGGTGGCTCTGGCTGGGGCTCCAGGCGTGCCCCTGCTGCCAGCTCCTATTTCCAGTTCCCTGGCAGCAAGGCGGGCAGCCACGTTTT